AATAGTGCGATTGACCATCACATTATAATGCCCCCACAGCTGAAAGAGCGAGCATGTTTGATGGAACGAGAATTCAAACCCACAAACCTCAGATTGCGAGTCAAGTGCCCTAACCACCTGGCTACAACGGGCCTACTTTAGAGACTCAAACTCAATTCAACATCATTGTTAATAGTACTAAACCTATTAAACACAATTATGAGCAGCTCATAAAAATATAAACTTGGTTTAAAGCCAGAATTGGAGATTCTTAAATGAAATTGGAAATCCAAAACATCTGAGCAGTTGTTAGCCTACATTTTATCAATCCCCCCAGTACATTCAAAATTATATTATATTGCTAAGACTAATTTGGTAACTTAACCATTGCTATATTTAGTGTTCCTAATAAATAAAAATAAAATGCATGAGATTGCTCTTAATACTAGCAACTTAATTATCACTATTTTTACTGTCTGTAAATACCCACAGAAGTTTTCTCAATCATACAAAACTCAGAGATATTTTTCCACTACTATTGATCTATATTGGTTAGCTTTCACAACTCTAGTCACCTTACAAGTTAGACATTATATGTTGTTTATATCATGTTTCTGTATCTTATAAACATAGAAATTATGAATTTTCAAGTTAAAACTTCCATGACTTTGATATAAAAGAATAGATGTTTTTGTTATTTGGTGGTTTTTCTTTGAGCTGGGCATAAAATTAAGAGAACAGTTTCCAAATTTATTCATACAGTGCATTTTTGAAAAATCATGTAATAAAAAATGATTGACTGTTATAGTTAGGGAGGCAGGGTCTACTCAATAATTTCTAGTTAATAAAATATAAAGCTTATGTATAATAATAAAATGAAGTTTAGAATTTAACTTGCAAACCTGTGGGTCTATGGCCCACATTTACAGGGCTGCTATAATGCAATTTTTATGCTTGGACTGCTATTTTGCACTTTTTCAGTTTAATGATCATTGCCTCTATAATGCAAGTTTAATTTCTTTAACCAAGTTACAAACAGTAATTAATAGGCCTATTTATTTACATGTTCTAATGTAAGTCAATGCCAAATTTGGAGTCCACTTTCAGGGAATTCCTGTAAAAGTGTTTTCTTGAAATACCCGGGTTCCTTTGTGGAAACCTTGGGGGCCAAGACAATTAATTTAGCATCAATTAGAAGTTGTTGAGTCCAGCAGTTTAGGGGAAGGGTTTTCAGAAAATTCCTGGGTTCCCCAAAAGGTTGGGTGAAAAAGTTTGCCTTTGTGCAAACCTCAGGACGGAAACAATTCATTTAGTACCACTTAGAAGTCAGTGCAACCAGTGCTTTAGGAGGAGTTACGTGACACATAGCCACTGAATCTTATTATATAGATATGTATTTTGAGGTTGCTAGACCTTTGAACCCATAAAATCCTCAAAAGGCTTACATAAAAAAATGCAAAAAGCATATTGGACCAAGGTATAACCCTACCAAGTTTCAAGTTAATCCGCAGAGAAATGAAAAAATGGTGATCGATTGACAAGTGTTTTGAAAAAGAAGAAGAACAAAAAAAAAGAGAAACACAAAATAGAAAAACAGTATGTCTCTCTGTGAAGACATAAACATGTTTAAGATGTCTGTGAAATAAAAGCCACATACTGATTGTCTATTAGCCCTGCTCATAGTAGGAAAGGATTAAAATTGTTTTTACGTAATATGGCATACTTAAGCTCATCAGAGAATGACTCTCTTATCTCCTTTTAAAGCCTTATCTTCACAGACTATACATACTCTCCATATTATCTTCACAAAACTTAGCAGATGAAACTTATTTCTATTGAGGGAGCTGCAGGTGTATGTACATAGTGAACTAGATTATATCTTCACATTTACACATTTGCTTTCTTTCGATAACAGTTTCATGAAATAGTGTACTGGGTAGGAAAAATTTTACACGTTTATAAAACAATATATATTGTACTAAATTTTATATTTGGCTTGGTTTTTCATTAGCCTACATTTCACAGTTAGTAGAGCAAGCTATTATAAAATTTTTGTCAGGAAAAGAAAGAAAATATTTAAATCAATTTAAATTAATTGTATTTTCTGAATTTGCTGAGAAAGCATGCATAAAATCAGAAAATAGACATGCCAAATAAAAAAAGATTATTAATGATGATACTCACAAGAAATGATCACTTCTGGTCTCAATATATGACTGAATAGTTTGGTTAAGAAGTATGTTTTTCAATTTGTTAACTTTTTTTTTATTTATTTGTTATCAAATACATAAAAATGGGCAGTAAGGTTTAGTAAGAAAAAAAACAAAAGTGAATTTCATAAGTACACTCACCATCTCAGGACTGATATAATATGGTGTTCCTAAAACTGTATTGGCTCCTCCTTGTCTTGTTGTTAACATTTTGGATATGCCAAAATCACCAACTTTCACAAGTCCATCTTTTGTCAAAAATATATTAGCTGTTTTAAGATCTCTGAAAAATAAATTATATATTACAAAGTTTCTTGCACAAAGAAACCAATATCAGACAACACTATGGAAAAACTAAATCTTTTTGTGAGTTTCATTAATACAGCTATATTAGCAGACAGCTGCCCGATCTGTGCAACAACTAGAAATTTGAAGACCTAGTGGAATGAAAACATGATGATAAAGTTGAAATAAAAATAGAACACTATATACTGAGGCAGAACTGAATGTAAAAAGCTGATCATCTAGTGGCAGAACTATTGCTTTGTAAAGTAATATTATGTAAGATAATTTTATTAAACTGTAATAAAAGTGTATTTAAAGAAAAATGATTAATAAAAAGAAAGAAAAATAGACCAGATCAGCAGACTGAATATTGTAGCAAACAAGGATGAGACTTTCCCAGCAAGCTCAACTCTTTAAAGATTAAAACAATTATATCTGTAAATCATTAAAACTGCATTTATGATTAGCCTTCTATCTGTAGTTGACCAACTCAATCACTAAAATCTTTGCTCCATGTGAAGTCATAAAACAGTTCTGTATACACTTGATAAACTATCTCACAAAACAAAAATAGGTCCTATGATTGGTTACAGAAAGTAATACCCTCTTCCAATAGTATATACTTCATATCCACAAAATTTAATTTGTTTTTACAAGTTCTAATTTGGAATGTTATAAATCAGTTGAGGTAACATGCTAATTTCAGTCTGGTGAGATATGAAGTATTCACATATTACATAATAATCACATGCCTTAAATGCCTAGCTTTAGTCATATTATCACTTCTATTTTCTTCCTACTCTTTCCAAAAATATTTGAAATTCAAGGCACAATAGACACAATGTCATCTTGGCGCCAAAAATCTAAAAAAAATTCCAGCTATGACAGGTTTTTGTTTTCTTCTATATTTTATAATTATGCTAAACCTATAATTTCCTAGGTTATGTCTTTATTTAAAAAACTTTTAAAATTGTTTGAAATTCATATTGTAATGACCAAAGAGGAAACAGATGATTTGTTATAACTTCACATTATAAAGACAATATTTCTTAATATAAGGTCATGCAATCAGCTCATGGTGTTTACAACAGACAGCTAATGGGCTTCTGCTATTGCTTTTCACGGAGAGATAAACTACTGCCCCTGGTATAAAATCCACCAATAAAACCATAAAATTAATAGAAAACTGAAACTGTGAAGATAAGTAATTTGAAACTCTTGAGACAATTATGCATTCAAAGAAGAAAAAAGGTATTATTAATTGTATTTTATATTTTTCAACTTTTCATTTCATTTAAGATGAAATTAATTATTTCTATTCTTAGAATGAAGTGTTCAAGTTATATTTTTTTTTTTAAATTCATTAATATTTAAATTATATATGTTCTTTTAACATCATGAACTCAAACAGTTAATTTACTCAAACAACTGACTTTAGTTTGAGTTTGTAGTTTAACAGGCTAAAATTTTCAAGAAGTAAAAAGGGCTTTATTTTATTTTTAAAAAGTACATACTAAAAATTTAGAATATTCCAATACCTATGAAGAATGTTATGTTCATGCATGTGACATATTGCTGAAACAATCTGCTTGAAAAGATCCAGGATTTCATTCTCTTCAAGTGTTGTCTTCAGATTAGAAAGATATTGTTGCAAAGTCCTATGAATAATTTCAATTAATCAGTGAATATATAAATCTCATTTATTTTCAATGTATCAGTTATGCTGATAAATACCTATGAGTTAATATCCTTTAGCCAACTCTGAAAATAATTAATAAAAAAAAAATGTTTTAAAATGACTTATTTCACCTTTTCCCTTATAATTCTTTTTTATTACTTTTCTATTTATTTTTATTCTCCAAATATTAATCTTAATAATGTTTAACTATATTTCTCTAAACACTCATATCATTTCACTCATTATTAGGTCACTACTATTTTATAATAATAATCAGGAGATTTACTTTAGTGTATGAACATAAGAATATTTTTCTATTTTTACAATTAGCAATTAATTTCCAGGTTAAACTTGGCTTAAACTAGAAATTATCAGTTGATGAAGCACACTAACATCACAACACAGTATATAAACAGATGCTTAATAAATCAGAGTTTTCATAACACACTCTTTTTTTGACAATGCCTTAAATTCAGATTATATATATATATAAGTGTCAAAAGGCTGCTAATAAAGTAATGAAATGAGACCAGTTTTCATTGGTGAAAAATACAAACTGTAAAGTATTAGATTAAGTATTTTTACAAATAATATGAACCTTAACCAGATATTATATTTCCATCAAGTCTATTTTAGTATTATGTTTAGCTCACAAACAACTGTTCATAGAATATTTTATTAAAAACAGTTGTGACATAATTAATGAACACTTAAAGTTATGATTTTAAACAACATATAAAATCACATTTTCTACATATAATATGGATATAAAATAGTATTTTGGATAGACTTTTGTTTTTCATCATGTACAGCCCAACTAATGAATTATTAACACTGATTGCTGTTTTTACATGACATTTCTAATAGACTAGTTAAGGAAAAATACATCTGTACTTTAGTACAATTGTATGAAAAATTATCAATGTTCAATGAAATTTGTATTTAAAAAGGCAGCTATGTAATCAATGAACATACCCTCCATCAGCATATTCCATCTTAATCATCAAAACTCCATCTTCCTCAAAGCTATCATAGTAACTAATAATGTTTGGGTGATGAAGCATTGACAGTACCCTAACCTGAAATAAACATATTCTTAAGATTCAAATCTGAATATGAAATCTTCAAACAGCACCTTTCTGAACCTATATACCATAAAAAGCTACCCACTATGCAATATGGTAAACAATGTAAATTAAAATCTACAAATAATTCCAAGTATACTTGATAACCAATTACACACCCACAATGGCTTTACTGGACACAATGATGTTTCATTCTGGGATTTATTACATACATTATAAGCTTTGTTCTGGTTTCTAATACACAAATTAATGGTTTCATTATGGATTTCAGCACACACACATTAATAGTTTCATTATGGGTTCCAGTACACACATTAATGGTTTCATTAGGGTTCCAGTATGCACATTAATAGTTTCATTATGGGTTCCAGTACACACATTAATGGTTTCATTAGGGGTTCTAGTATGCATATTAATAGTTTCATTATGGGTTCCATTACACACATTAATGGTTTCATTAGGGGTTCCAGTATGCACATTAATGGTTTCATTATGGGTTCAAGTACACACATTAATGGTTTCATTATGGGTTCAAGTACACACATTAATG